GAATTAGAGTAGAGTATTTTGCACGAGCGTAAAACTCTTTGAAAACCATAGGTAGAAAATAACTCTACGACTCGTTAATAGACAGTTAAAACGTTTAAGGCAGATTTTATCATAAAGGAGCAAAATCTGTAACTCTATATTGTCCATAATATTCGAAATTAAAAAAACGAATTGGAATTCAATATTGAACCATTTCAATCAATATTGGTGCTGTTATCTTATGAAAATATTGGATCCTATATCCAATGTTTAAGATACAATGAACATTTTAATATCAGTACACGAGTCGTGTACTCTATAGTTTCGGACGACATTTGTAATGAACAAAGACAAACATATCCTACCAGACAATGTGGAAGTAATTAGTGATGGTTTATTACTAAACGAAAAAATAATAATGAAAAAAACGTGTAGAATGGACTTGGTAGACATAAAAGACTGTCGTTCAAATTGGACTGTTCGCGTATTACACCATTGATTAGAAATTACAAAAAAATAAAATTTAAAAAAAAAAATAAATATAAATACATTCATATTACATGTGTACTTTCAGACCCATTTTCGTCCATTTTAAGGTACAAAAGATCTTGGATCTTTGTGAAGAAATCTGATTAAAATAAATAGAGGATATTTGTCGTTTTGTCGTGAATAACATATTTTATTTCATCTCTAAGCAAGAAAACTTTATATTTTCACGAATGCATGTTCTATTTATTTTATGATTTTACAATCATTTTAGGTAAAAACAACATGGACTACTGCTAGCCAGTGGAATAACACTTTTATTTCACTGATAAAACGCGGTATTCCACTACTGATCATAAAATAAAGATCTATATTTCGTTTCGTTGTTTATACTTTCGATGGCCTACACCGCATGAAGATCTGACCAGTTGTACTGGGGCTTACGAGCGGCTTTTGACCCTATGACGTAAGATATTGATTAATCAATCAGCGTTGACGTTTCTAGGGGTTTACCCACAGTAACAGACGGTTTCATTGGCTAATTCCTCATATCAGCCAGAACGTGTGTTATATAACAACTCTTTCAGATCCTAGTGTTGAGAAGACAAGTAAAACGAAATTCTGAACTATAAAAAACGAAACGAAATAGGATTTTTTGCTTTAATCAGATTGTTTGTGAAGCGTCCGACGGAAGGATACATCACATGACATTCAAAATGGCCGACGTATGGCCGGTAAGTTTTTCCAGAGATAAACAAAGGGTAAGCTTATCTTTGGGAGCCGAGATTGACTGAATTAGTCATCTGTATAACTCCAACCATTTGGGAGACGAATATCATTATCTTTTTTAATGTAAATTCTTTAAAACAGAAATAAGTAAAAACATTGCTACAAAATATGTAAATAGACCATCAATTCTAATTGTTACTGTTAATACCATTCATATAAGTTCACAGAGGGTTTCTTCGAACCAGGAACTCGTCGCTAACTGCCACCCATCTTGTTGTTCTTCTTGGCGAAAAAGCATAAGGCTCCGTCAATTTAAGTTCAATCGACATGAAAATTGGCATGCCCCTTCTTCGAAGAATTCTGAATCAATTTGGTGAATTAGATTTTTATACGTCCACATTTTCATGTGAACGTATTATGCCGTCGCCCCTGTCTGTCCGGACGTCCGTCCACAATTTGTTTGTGGACACTCTACAGATCATAATTTTTATCCGATTTTGACGAAACTTGAAATATAGGCCTATCTCTCAAAGATCTCGGTTCCTGTCGATATTTGCGCATATCGGATCATAACTTCCTGAATTATGTCCCCAAATTGTATGAAAAATCGCGTTTTTAGCTTGTGGTCCTCCTAGTGGTCACAACTTTTATCCGATTTAAAAACAAACGTTTCAATATATCACCGTTACACCCTAATGATGGTTGAGTTCGAATTTCGTGAAAATCAGATCAAAACTGTCGGACAAAATGGCCGCCCTTCGTACGCAAATAGTGTTGAGACATGCATAGGCGTACGGGAAATTTTTTTACTGGGGGGGGGGGGGGCGGTGGTGGTTGGTGCCCCAAAAATGTAGTTAGGTTCTTAGTATGTTACATAATAATCATAATATCTCTTTTGCGATGAATAAGTTCTTAATTTCTAAATCATCAATAAAAGAGAACTAAATTTTATTTACTTGTAATATTCACAACTAAAAACAGTTGTTTATGTAACTGTAATTCGTGGCTTACTGTACTCCAAACAATAGAGGGTTCGAGTCTTAAGATTTCTATTTAATTGCCTAACTATAGACACTCTGAATTTAAATTCGCTGTTAAATTGGACGCATTCAAGAACACAATATTTTTTTATACAACTTTTACAAAGTACAATTGTGTGCCCAAATTTTCCCAGCATTTAGTGCCCAAAATGGGGGGGGGGGCCCACCCCCAGCTCGTACGCCTATGGAGACATGGTATATCAGGGTTGTGGACCTTGAATTTAAATTTATGTTTATATCACAATGTCTTGGTTCCTTTCGAAAATCGCGCATATCCGGACGTAACTTCCTAGATTATGGACCCTGATTGTAAGAAATATCGCATTGTTAGCTTGTGGACCCGCTAAAAGTCACAATTATGATCCGATTTAAAAAAAAATAACAACAAAAAACATTCGAATATATCACCATTACTTCGTAATGTCGGTTGAGTTCAAATTTCGTGAAAATCGGATCAAAACAAAATGGCCGCCCCTCGTACGCAAATAGTGTAAATATATATATGGTATATCAAGATCGCTTGTAATGAAACTTGAAATACATGTTTATAACCCAAAGATCTTGGTTTCTTTCGATATTCGCGCATATCGGATCGTAACTTCCTGAATTATGGCCCTTGATTCAACGAAAGATCGCGTTTTTAGCTTGTGTTCCCTCTAGAGTTCACAATTTTTATCCGATTTTAAAAAGCGTTTAAATATATCACCATACACCATAACGTAGGTTGAGTTCGAATTTCAGACTAAAATTGGGTAGGCCTTTGCACAAAGCATTGGCTGAATGTAATTACGGCTAATGAAAGGCATTGTTGTGTTAATAAGTTACACCCTATTACCGGCAGCTGTGACAGTAGAGGCAATAATTAAGGAACACAAGTTTTAGAAATGAAATAAAATGAAATGAAATGGTCTTTAACGTCCTACTGTTCTGCTCCGACTGGGCTAATGAAGAAGGGCATACGCCATACAGTGTACTTTGAGGGGAATGTTGCCCGGGCAGCGGCACTATCGTCTACTCTTATCGAATTCCAATTGCCAAGGGATCTTCTGGTAAATTTTATAATGACGGGATTTCTGTGACAGCAGTAAAATAATATAACATTTCAAGTGCCCTTTCAAAGCAAACCTAATGGTTTTGTGATTTTTAAAAAAAAAAAAAAAAAAGATTTCCCATATTAAAAATGACTTATTTTAAGCATATAAAAATTTAAGAGTTAAAGGAGCTAAATCGCTAACATTTGGGACCTAGAAATTGACAAAAGTGGGTCGCAACGCATATAATACTGTAATATGAATGTACGTGTATATAAACTGATTTACATTCAATGGTTTCGGTTTTTACTCCAATTTCAAATCAGTAATGTTCGGCGAAATAAGCCAGCAGTCTCAAGCGAGTGCAAATTTCTAGCGTCTGGTTATTCCAGTCTACATACGCCGTTTGATTTGGTGCAATGTGTCTAGCCTCGTCCCTCTTGATACAACTGGGGCTGAAGGGCATTATGGTACACGATTCGTGTACCAATGGCAAAATGTTTATTTTGTCTTAAATATTGGATATCAAAAGCCCATCTTTTTCCGGTAAGATCACAACATGAATGTTTATTTAATTTGACAAATAATTCGTGTTTTCAATGTTGAAGATTTTGGATGATATTGAGTTAGAGACTTAGCTCCTTTAAGAGAGCCGAAAAGAATCCACCTCAACAGTGATCGACTACTTGTTCAAGACTACCAAAATACAACGAACAACCCCAAATGCGATAAAAAAAAAAAATATCCCGAAAATAAACAAATGACACAAATTAGACCTCATAATACTATAACATTACTTTACAGTAAGAAATACTAACACAGAATGAAAGATTAAATACTGATGTGGACACCTGAATGACTATTGCCGTCAGTCTATTTTTAGATCGTAGCTTTTGTTTACGTTGTGGTCTTGTGAGTCGGTGATGTCAGAAGCATATGACCACTGACGTCATTTAATTTCCGTGAAATAAATAACAAGTCACGATCGAAGTGTTTCGAAATCATATTAATTTGGACTAACAACCGTTAGGTAGGTTTTATTTAACAGCTTTCGAAACATTTGATAATTAGAACTCATTAATTTATAATCGTATTTCTAGAGTTTTATGCTTTGATTTGTAGACAGGAGTGTATAATTGTGGGTTGGGGAGGGCCTAGACTGAAAACTGACAAACTTGAGGTTGAAACAGCAGGAATTTGACGTCCATTAGTTGCCGGAATAATAACCCGGTATGGCCTATATTTAGGACACAAGACACGTAGTGGCAGTTTCAGATCTGTATTTTGGCTATTAATATTTACGTATAAAAAAAAATTGGTTTGATCTTGGTAATTTTTGAATACATTTTTTTATGTAGATTATCCATGAAGTATTATAAAGGACAGTCATGGTGTCATGTGATTGTGATGGCATAAATCAAAATGAGCTTTTAATATAATGTACTGTTTCTATGTAGTTTGTAGGGCCAAATTGGATGTCCAAATATAGTCATAGTATATAATAGTTTGATTGAAGTACAAACACTATTTTATTCAGTCTTACAAGTTCATAATAGATCTGAAACATTATTATGCGTCCAGAGTCCTATTCAGTAACTACTACTAACAACAGTAGCCTACCGGGTAGCCAGAATCTCCAACTTTTAATTGTCTCACATGTCTTATATTTTTTTGACCACCTTCTACATAATGACCACAATATTGTATGTAAATGTTTTGTCTCGTGTTTTTTCAGGATATAATTTTTTAAACAGAAGTGAAAACTCATTACTACAGTCAAAATGTCACTTTATCCATCTTTAGAAGATATGAAAGTAGACCAACTACACCAGGTGAGAGATGTACATATGATATGAAATGATTTTGTGCTAATGTTTGTGCTTTGTTTTATGGATACCCTTCCCCTACACATAATTTATAGAGGACCTAGTAGTACATTATTCGAAAAGAATGGTCAAAATTTTTGTTTCATTAAAGATACATTGTGGACAATTAGATAAAGAGCTGGCAATTTTCACTATAATAGTTAAAAACTAGATGATGTGAAGGGAATATGCTGAAAATTTCAGTCAAATTGTTTCACTCTAAGCCGAGAATATCCTTATTTTAAAGTAGCTAAGTCTGTAACTCAATATCATCTAAAGTCTTCGACATTGAAATCTCGAATTATTTGTCAATTTAAACCAACATTGATGTTGTGGTCTTACCGCGAAAAGATGAGCTTCTGATATCAAATATGTAAGACAAAATAAACATTTTTCCATTGGTACACGAATCGTGTACCATAATGTGTTTCACCGCCATGTGTAACAAGGGACTCGACGAACGAGGCTAGACATAGGCCCTATTCCACAAGTCATATCAAACGGTGACTTCATATTCTTATCTGGAGAACATGCGCAATAAATACTATCGGTGTAGACTGGAATAACCTCAATATAAAAATAAGGTCTTTTGTTTTTACTTCATTTTAATGACATAAAAATAATAACAAAGTAACAAATATTTAAGCATCCAAATGTTCCAATTCTGTTTCAACCTGTCCATGTTATCATCAATAATGTATAGGATGTTATAACTGTATTAGACAACAATGAAGCGATAAAAGGGAAAAGTTTGTGTTGTTCTATCGGCCGTTTTGATAGCTACGGCCGGGTTCGATATAAGAAGGGGAGGTTGGATGGCCGAATGGATAGCACGTGCACGCTGTATCATAAGACCTGTCATTGAGTCAACTGGCGTGGTTTCGAATCCCTGTTTGTATGTGACAAGGAGTAGGGTCGCCTATCCAACCTCGTGGGTTTTCTCGCAAGCGAATTATTGAAAGAAAATTAAACCATATGTTAGTCCCGAAATGACCTAGTTTGTGTCGAGTGGACGTTAAACCCCATTTCTCTCTCTCTCTCGATATAGGAAGATATTCATTTACCCTTGCAAACTCGTTTTTTCTCATTCAAGCGTATGCCGTATTGAAAATGAAATATTACAATACAAGAATGCTACATGTAAATTCAAGTATACAATATTTGTGCCCATTAACCAAGTCAAATAAATAGCGTTTTTTTGGATCATGCGATTTACAGACCACCATAATCAGTCTACCGGTACCTCTCAGTATAGTTAGCTTTATTCACATTTCTGCCTACATAAAATATATTTTAATCAGAAAATCAATGATTCCTTTGAAAAGTCAAAATGGGTATACACAATTCGTGAGGAAACAGGGATAATTCTAACAGTACTATCGGTCGTGTGGAAAAGTGATTGAGAAGTCACGTGATATAAAAAAGCTATACAGCGTTTGCAATCTTTGTGAAATGAACACTTATAACATTTTTTATTGCTGTTTATTTATCATTCAACAATAAAATGCTGTGAATGACATTGAAAGGAGGACATATTTTCACAAAATAGAGTAAAAAAAAATTGCGGTATCTTCAGAAAGGAAGGTTGTCATTCGACAATACTCATTTATTTTAGAGACGTTATTTTTAGTACAGGAAGCTATTACGGGTAGGACTATCGTGTGCTTAGTAAGTTAGTTGTAACTGAAGTTAGTCTATTCAGCTATTATTATTGTGCCCACAGGAACTAAAATGCTTTAAATGATCACAAAGTATTGTTCAATTTCAAAGAATTTGTCAGAGAAAATCGGCTTGTCCGCGGGTGGACAGAATGCGAAATAGCTGTCCAACAAAATGATTAACCTGTCCCGGACGTCGGGCGATGGGAATTGTGCACCGCTGTATAACTGATTAGAAATTACAGTAAAATATTAGCGATTTAGCTCCTTTAAAATCTTTGTAGCCTTGATTATCATTGTTAGCGCTGTCACAATAATTAACAAAGTCTCAATTATCCTTTTTTGCATTAATCATCAACAGACCTTAAACAGCAGATCGGATTCAAATCCAAGGATAATCCGACAGATAAGATGGCATTGAGAGATGATTATGGTCTTTTCATGTTAATAGATGTCTAATTAATAGTTTATATAACATTTCAGGCCTTAAGAATAATGCATGTTTAACTAGAGTGTTAATGACAAGACACGACTTCAAGTGTAATATTATGTAAGCTAATGTGGGATTCATTAACATTTCTACCAAATTTTTCAGTATTTAATTTTTGGTTCTATTTTCTTTTTAGGCTCAAAGACACCATGAACAAGCATCACAACAACCACCAGCTTTACAGTACCCCCATCCAGTAGCTCCTGGTGGTCAGCCTAGTGCCCCCAGAACACCATCACCATCATTATATCCTCAACTAGGAGACTATATGGGTCTCTCACTTACACCTGAATTAGTTGCACAAAATATGCCTGTGGCTGTACCTACTCCAATGCCCGTAAGTATAATAAATAATTAATATTTCAGAATTTTAAATTCTTAATTATACTATTTTATGAATACCAGTGGCTTGTTTCATTAAGCGTTTGTAAAGTTCAGTAGAGTTGTAGACTAAAGTAAAATTCTCGATTTACGTATAATGATAAAATTGATAAAGCACCAATCAAACACGATATGCTGGCGGCCGATCGGCACTTTCTCATTTTATGTAAAATGCATTGTCAATAAATAAATAAACAGTATTTGCAGACATAGATTATAGTATTTATTTTATCTGAACTTTATTTTAAAGGTTGGAGTAAGACAAAATGGAGCTGGACAGATGCAGGTAGCCCCCATATCTGGAGACAGTAAAGGTTTAGTAAGAGCTGAAATAAAACAAGGCATTCGTCCTATTATTTTATGTAAAGATGAAAATGGTAAACTTGGTCTGCGTGTTCGTCATGTAAACAATGTAAGTAATGTTTTTGATGTTAAAATATGGTTTTACATAATTAATTACTTTTCAGGTACTTGTGTTCAGTTTAAATATATGTTTCACTGACAGAGTTTATTTTTAAAATCAAAAAGCATTATGTCAAAATGTTTCCTTGACTTTAGATAAGAAAGTTTGCTGACAGAAGTGAATTAGCTAGAGATCGAGTAGCCAAATAGGCTTGAATGCTTAGTATTTTGTTAATTGATTCTGTTTAGGCTGATATAATTAAATGATTAAAATTGAAGTCAGAATAAAGACAATGTAGATATTATTTGATATTTTAGGGTTTATTTGTGGCCTTGGTGCAGAATAATAGTACTGCAGCTTTAGCAGGATTGAGATTTGGTGATCAGATTTTACAGATTGATGGAAAGAGTGTAGCTGGTTGGGACAATGATAAAGCTCATAGAGTCTTTAGAGATGCTAATCCAAAAAGAATTGAATTAGCTGTCCGAGACAGGTATTTATTTTATGAAATGGTTGTTTTCAAATTGACAAATATCGCCACCAGATAACATACAGGATTCTATTTTATGCAATTTGTTGGTCATATTTATACTTTTTGATTGTAAGATGCTAAACATTTAAATTGAGGCAAATTTTAGAATTGTAAGAAGAATTATGGAAATTGTAAACACATTTGTTTATTTCAGACCCTTTGAAAGAACAATTACCATGCAGAAAGATAGTGTGGGTTATATTGGTTTCGTATTTAAAGATGGCCGAATTAAGTCCATTGTGAAAGATTCATCTGCAGCCAGAAATGGTATTTTGACAGATCATCAGCTTATTGAAATTAATGGTCAAAATGTTGTTGGTTTAAAGGTAGGTTCTGTTTCCTTTGACATCTTTATTCCCTTTTAAAAAAGACTGTTCGTCAGATTTTATTTTATAAATTAGTCTTTGTTGAGTTTATTGTATCTCTTGAAGGAAAGTAAAATGCAACTCAATTATAAATTATGCAAAAACATAAAAGTAAAAAAATTTGATTTATAAATTATGCAATCTGTGTTTTAGGATAATGAAGTTGGCGAAGTAATTGATGCAGGCGGTCGAACGGTTACTGTAACCATCATGCCATGTTTCCTGTTTGATCACATTAAGAAATGGTAAGTTTTACTGAAATTAAAAACGTTATTTCTTTTGGTATATAAAGCCCACTAACCAGTTTTCTGGACGTTACAGTTTCTTGAATTTAGTTAGACATCTTATAAAGTTTACATTCCAAAGAATTTGATTTTAGGGTTTTATCCATCTTCTTCAAGATTTTCATCTCGGTCCTTTAATATAGTCTTACATACACATCTTGTTATATATTTATTAAAGCTATGATGTTTTAATTACATATATTATTTGTATTTTACAGCATGGGAAACAGTTTAATCAAAAAGTTAATGGATCATTCAATACCTGATCTGTAAACATCATCTTCTGGAAATAAGCCATCTGTATAGTGTATTCAGAGTTATCTCCTTGTAGTGAACTCATGTGTATAAACTTCTTGTATCTATGTTTTAAACATAATAACATAAACTTAATATACAAGATATTTGGTGTTAAATAAAAACTGTGAATTTTTAACAGAATAACTGCATAAACAAAGAAAAAACACCCAATAAAACGACAACTTAAAAAGCAAAAACTGTGATTTCTAATTTTGACGTGTTTATGTACTTGTTTTTTTTAATGTGCCCTTTCATAATATCGGTATCTTACACCTTATGTGTCAATTATTGAAAGTTATTCTAAAAATTAAAAGTGATTTTTTTAAAAAAAAGGAAGAAAGCTGCTGCACTTTTAGAACAACAATCTGGAGTAATATTAATGAATTGTTCAGTTGTTTGTAATTATTACCGGAGTCTATTTCCTATAAAACGTGGATATTAACAAAGGTTATATTGCATGATCTGGTGTTTGAAATAACTGTAACTATTTGATAGGAATGTGTTGTGGATTAATGAAACAATATAATCACAATAAACATATGGTTGTATCGGATCTGCCTAGAATTTTAATTTTTTAGTTTTGATTTAAGATGTTTGTTGGAATTTTTGTTTGTAACCATGTGAGTTATACCGTATGTAATTATGTGTTCATATTGCTACTATAAAAAATTAGTCATAATTTTCTCTGATATTGTAGTATAACAATATTCTCACTATCATGTATCAATTCAGTGTTTTTCTAAATTTTCAAGTTTCTTACTTAAAATTGTTTTAAATTTTGTCTCCCTTATATAATTGTTCTATAGAACATATGTATAATAAACTATTTATTCTTTCTGTATGCTATCATGAGAACAGTGTTTATTGTGATTTAAGACATTTGTTGGGTGTATATTGTTAGTAGTAGATTTGTCTTTTGACATTAAATGTTTGAACTCAACGCTAATTAGAAATAATGTGAACATAAATATATTTGACTTCACTTAATAACTAAGAAATTACTAAAAGAATATTATAAATAAACTTTATTACAATCTACATTTTATTTTAGCAGTATATGCTATACTTAGTTATGTTATTTTTTATAATCATTTATTAAAGTCAACCATTTGCAATATAGCAATTATTGTTAAACACACTTTGTTTTTTTATGTACATAATTGAATATTGCTTTAATTGAATAAATCATAAAATTTCTGATGTCTTCTCTTCATGATAATGTTAAAATGTACACCAATTTCTGCTCTGAATTGTCTTTTGTACCATCTCAAAGAGGTGATTTAATTGAACACCTATCCTATGGTGGCTTGAAGTCAACATCCTACCTCTTCTGCCTTTCTAGTACAAATAAGTCGAAGGCTGGGAAGACTGTGAAGACCATCTAAAATTGGAAGACCATAAAAGAAATAGTTTGTCTTATACACATTGTTAACTATTAGTGGTTTTTAATTATGAATATCATTTCCCATTGACATTCATAAAAAAGTAAACAGTTTACATGCTAATATTGATGCTATTAAGGAATGAATCATCCCAACAAATGATGAATTTCAGTCAATTGGAATCAAGAGAATTTAGATTTGTGCTAGAATTAAATATATATTGGTGCTGGTCTAATAACCTGACCCAGGAAATGGTTATTTTTGATTTAGCCCTTCAACACAAATTTCTTTATCATCACTTGTCTGCGAGAACAAATAGTCATTTCTGACTTTGACTGAAGTGTTTTATGCATTGCAACATAATTTGGTAGATATATGTTGTTGTTTTTTTCAATTGAAGTTCCTTAACCCTATAGTGGTTGATAATTGTCCTGGTCTCTAAAAGCACTTGAAGTATTTTGATCAAATTTGTTAAGAATGCTTCTTAGCTTGTTGTTCAGATTTGTTCAAATAAAGTTGCTCGACTCCATAAATTATGTATTTTCAACTTCTGTCTTCTGAACTGCTTGATGTATGGCAACCAAATTTGGTAGGTATGTTGATTGAGTGATGCATGCCCATTGTTCTAATAAGGTCATTTGGCACCAATAGGGTAAAACAGGGACATGTTTGAAGATTAAAACTAAATTTGATAGATATGTTGCCAGAGTGGTACTTATTTGGATTTGTTCATGCGAAGTTTGACCCAACAAGATTGATCTGGAGCACCTTGATTGGGCTAAGGAATATTCTCACAAAGAAAATTCTTCAATGCTTAAATGCACACATGCTCTTAACTGTTGGGCAATTAAGGGGCCTTGATCTTCTTGTTTGGGTAAATAAAAGAAGACAGATAGTTGGGTGGTACAGGCATTAAATTTTATCAGCTATCTATATCCCCTGGTATCTTTGTTTTGACTACTTCTGTTGTGTTCTGTTAATATTCATAGGAGAGAAAAGCCGGAGGAAACCCATGTTGTTGGACAAGCAACCCTGCTCTGTCACGTACAAGCGGGGATTCAAAACCCTCTACTTGACTCAATGACAGATCTTAAACCACTAGACCACCATATTTATAAGTACATACAGCAGTATATTTGTTGATCATGTTAAAAGAGAGTGAGAAGTTAAAGAATCGTAAGAAGTCTCAGTCTATTACAGCTTAAATCAATCAGTTTATTTTACCAAGGAATACATGTGAAGTAAATCTACATACTATTACCATCAGAACACACTTCATAATGATGCAATGTCTGATTTTTATCATCTAATTTGTTGTTCAATTCATAATTCTTTGACACACCAATGGAGTTTTTTTTAAAAAAAAAAAAAATGATTAAAATCATAGTGACAATTCCACATCAAGTTACAGCCATTTAGTATGTTACCGCTACTAAAAACAATCAATGTGCCTTTATAATTTTTTGCCTATGGCTATATAAAGTTTTATATCCAATAATGTTTTTGTTGCTTGTATCTACAAAGGCAAGTGAACGGTGAAAATTGAATCTCTAAATTGGATATCGGCCAAAAATGGTTTAATTCTGTTTAGTATCTACAAAGATATGATGGATTTAACATTTTGCTATATTTAGCAAACTCTGCAGACATTATAAACAAGCCAGAGACATCATTAAATACTGGGGAAAAAGTCATTTGATGGGCCTCTTTTTATTTCCATTGAATCCAAGCTAGGAGATAATCTACCATCCATACTTGATTCTGTTTTCTTAAATGTTAAATAACCAATGCAAGTACATTTTAGCATTCATTAAGCCATTAATAAGTTAAGATATTGTCCGAAAACTATGATCAATGGGCTTATCTCACAATAAACAAGAAATATCTAAGATAGGCTTGACTTATGTGAATAAGACAATATGTTAACTCACACACTTTCCATGCATGGCACAGATGTCAGAGAAAAAAAATCTATCTTTGAACAGATAATATTGTTTACTAGTGAGCTGTGAGGAAGTGTTCAGTGGGTTAGAACTTTAAAAGTAAATTTAGTGATGACAACCTTACACACATATAAAGATAAGCTTAAAGTTAGAATAAGAAAATAAATACATTAATGTGATAAAGGCACTAGTTGATATAACACAAATTTATTATACATTATGTACAATGGTGATACCATTAAATACTGTTTCATAAAATCATAGAATAGCTATAATAAGAAATTGAGGTATAATAAAGTTAGCTAGAAACAATAACAACAATTGTGTACAATTACAATAACAGGACATTCAGAGACTATAATTTTACACTTCTAATTTTCCAGACAATATTAAAGTTTGCAAAGTGAAAAACTGGTTATAAGATGGGAACAAAATATTAAAATATGAAAAGAGGTAAAGTAAGCTTTGACCCTTTTGTTTACATATTCTACAACTTCAAAATTTGTGTAAGGTTTTGTTTTAATTTAAAAACAATGTTTGAAATCAACATAAATTATGAACACACAACAAAAAGATCTGGCATAATCTAAAATACATGAATAATAAAAATTAAATGACGGATTCATGAATTCAAAAAGCAAACGGAGTATCTAATTGCTACAAATGTAACATTATAAGACAGGAATTATTATGTCTTTACTGAGATCGAATCAGATTAAACAAACATACTTTTAAGGAAAAATCAAACTACAATATGAAAGTTAATTTACATTACGGCAGGGAATATGATAAGCAGTATCGTATCGCAGTTTATTTATTTGATTAGCAGAATTTGCAAATGAAGTCTCTTATTCAAAATCAAGCGTGAAAAAATGTTTAACAAACTTGATTTACCATTCAATTTTCAGACATCCAATAATTGCTAATCAGTTATTTTTTCCAAATCATATTCCCTGCATTATGGTATTTAAAGTTTCATAAATTATCTAGCAGTCGAAGGTATTTTTTGTAAAGAATCCCCAAGAAGATAAGTGTTGGGCATCATTCTATATTATGCCCAAGATACAATCTCTCATGGAGTGAGATTCAGAAACTGATTTAGATGAATGAATATTATTCATACAGTATCTATTATATAATAATCTGGGATAATAATCGTAAGGTATGTTTTCATAGTGTAAAATCCAACATAAAGCCATTTGACACATAAAAAAATGAAAAAAGATTTTTGTATGTCCCCTTCCCCCCACCGCCATGTTCACAACAGATGGTGATTACAGTTCGGACTAAATTTCTTTTGACAAGACTGGCAAAATGCTTCAGAGAACTCATCCCCATGAACATGCAGATCTAAACATTAAATTCTTAAGGAATGAACATGAATGAGAAAAAAGGTGATTTACAAACGAATATTTATCTACTCTCTCCATAACATGTATTTCTAATACCTTCCGACAATCTAAATATATAATAATCATACTATAAAATGTCTATAATGAACCTAAAATGTAAGCATATATTTATAAGGCAGTAGAAGAAATAAGCTATAAAATAATGAAATTTAAATACACTATCATATCATAATACTGATATACAGAGTATTATTATTGTTGGATATTCATATATCAACCTACACTATAATTTAATATCATATATTGGCTCAAATTTCAAATAATCTATACTAACATCATAGTATTATAGCAATTTTACATCCTACATTTGAATAATTAATCCCTTTAACTTCAACAAGCAAAACTTAAAACTTTGTATTAAATAATCCCTCACTTTACCACCCTGCCCCCAAACGCTATTTTACATAAATAGATATAAAATATAGTCACACGTTATTACCGTTGACATTCTTTTTTTGTGCTATATGTTTAAATGAAAGGTTGAGTATGTATATTGCTATTGCTATTGTCATTGAAATTATCTTTAAAATAACATGTATAATGATCTTCCTTAAACTCACTTAAATGATAATTTTGTTCAAATATTATAGAAGTAATTTATTCTGTTCAGCACATTGTTATAACAAGTAGGATAGTAACATTGGGCTTGACATGACCTAGTGGGTGTATACACAAGGACTAGATTATTGTGATTAGGTTATTAATAGACCTGAGTAATATATCAATGATTAACTCAACATGATAACAAGTCAGGGCAGACTTATATAAAATGTTATTATATCTTTGGTTTTATTACAACATACAGTACAAGTTACACACAGATCTGCTTTATTAAATGATGTTAATAGGCCTATAACGAGTCCATTATTAGTAATCAAAAATAAACAAGAGATACTATTATTTAATAAATCCATGCACTGTCATGGATAAATGGGTATAAGTTGATAAAAGATGTAATATGAAACCAGTTACTACATATATATTTCTTATTTCCCAATAACTGGTCTATCAGCAATTTGAACTATATCTGATTTATATAGCCTGTATTGTGCTGATATGTTCAATAAATCTATTCAATTAAAGAGGAACACATAAAGAATAGCATAATCTACATTAGTTTATGACATAATGTGTCTCTTTTGGTTAAGACTTTTATTCTGAAGGTAATAGAAAGATACAGCATGTTTTTTTTTCCAGTGCATATGTTTGACTAAGTCCAAGCATGTTAATTACATAGTAGAAAATTGACATAAAACTCCCAAACATCATGACAAAAATAGCAACGCCCATATTTTACAACAAGCAGAGGTAGATAAAGCTTCTGCCATTCATTAATAAGACAACAAAATCTGGGACTTTTTGACCATTTGAATGTTTCTGATGAACAAACAATTCTTGTGTCCAGAGTCTTAGCACCCATCTTCAAAAAAACATGTCATAAGATACATTATATCAATACTGAAAACTTCGGGAAACTTTCAGCTTCAAGTAAATAAGTCAATACTATTATGGAACTAATTGTGAATGAGGTAATTTTGGTACAACTGTGTTTACACAATCATAAAATAAATGTTCCTTTTCACAAAAATAGCCATAAGCACATTGACAGAGAATTTAAATGATTAATATTCAATAAATACTGATCTATATTTACCATTAAAGATGCATTTTGTAAGAATTAGATAAAGAGCTGGACATTCTTGCTATAATAGTTCAAAAATAGATAATGAAAAATGAATATATTGAAAATTAACAGGGAAATTTCTTTATTCTATGCTAAGTTACAAGTGTTTGAATTTTTGACAAAATGTAGCGTAGATTGTTTACATTAAGGCCGTGGTCTAATCTTCATAAAATTGGGCTTGGTTGGAGATGACGTGCCATAAAACCACACTCCATTTACATCCAAATTGAGCCCATCCCATGACCCAGAGACCTGATTATGGGTTTTCATGTTAATACATGTTTTAATAATAGACGGAAAAAAGACCTGCAATAGGCAGATTTAGCTCTTACATAATGCATCTTTAACAGAACAATAAAATCGAAGGCAAAGCAAACAGTAATGTGTTTATAATTATCTAGCATTATTTAAATACAAAAGTTTAATTATTCTGGTTTTAAGTGAATAAACTATGAAAGAGATCTGTTTTCTGGTTTTATCAATATATTCATCTATTATACGTCATTTAATATTGAACAACATGTTCTGGTTATTGACCTGTTTTTATCATCTATTAATGACTAATGGTTATATATTAAACAATATGGTTTTATAATCATAAATAGTTATATAGTTATAGTGTGATGGGAGTTTCGCTATAGCAGAATTGGTTCCACCTACTATTATATAACAAGAAATTTGTGATGTGGTTCAAGTATGAATGAGTTTTAAATAAATAACACCGAACGTATCCTCCTTTCTAAATTATGAGAGTTGAACAAAAAAGTAATACTCTGCTAGTTTAAATGTTATTAATAACATTGATAAGGTCATCAACTAATTAGTCATCATTGCTTTAATTACTGTCTGGCTTGCTAACCTGGAGGTCGCGGATTTGATCCCGTTGTTGGCCGAGAAAGTTCACCAGGATTTCCAGTGTGGTTTCCTCTAGTCATTTTAGCAGGACAGAGTTCCTGACAAGGACAGTTGTCTAGTCATTCGGATGGGACAAAAAACAAAACAAGGTCCTGTGTACACATTGGATAGCACATAAAAGATCCCTTGGCAGTTGGAATTCAAAGTAAGAGGAGGCCCTAGCACCATTGTCTGGGCAAAATTTCCCTTATAGCACACTGTATGCCCCTCTTCATTAGCCCAGTCAGAGAAGAACAGTAGGATGTTAAAACACATTTCATTTCATTTAATTATGGTAAGGTGGGGGCAGGGAGTGAGTAAATTTAGCAACTACAGGACTAAATGACTTCTCTAACATCACATTTCAAGGCATTACATTGTTGAATGTCTGATTATCCAGTATCATTTATGATTGTCAAAAACATTTATCAGGGTTGCATATTTGATAATTGAGCCTATGGTACATTTCCAGATTCATTCGGATTTTTTAATGGAGTTACTTCCTTATTCTGCAGAAAACATTCACAAGCCGTAATTAATGAGACCGTTTTTATTTTTTGAAATATAAACAGGTCATGCAGCTCTTTTTGAGTGGCAGGAGATTATCTGAGAACCAGAATATTTTTTTTATATTGCTTAAAGTGTCAGGTCACATTCAAAGCATTAATTTCTTGTCCACACAGATTTCTTGTTTTACAGTATATATATGATATAGCTGGTCCTTCACATAATTTAGCTGAAGATATCAGTAACTACTTATATTATAGTAAACCTCACATTTATCAACTACAATGTTTCAGACATGCCCTTGTATAATTTTATACTTTTCCTGTTTTGTCACCCCAATCGTTTTTTAACAATATTTACACAAATACTAAAAATTGTGCCAGCACTAATTATTCAATTAATAGTTCAATAAAGAATGAAAGGATTAATAAAATAAATATTGATATATTTAAAATACCTACTAAAACACTGCATGGAATCATTAATATCAAAAGGCAAAAAGTAATAAAAAATGATAAAATCAGTCAGCTTAAACTATTCCTGGAATCCTAAAACCTCATACTTAACTTCATACAAAGTCTGTTTTAAATATACCCATTATTCTTGAATATATTAAGTTGATATATGGAGTAAATATCACTTTCCCTTGTGTCACTTTTGTTATTAAGACATTTGTTCGTCAAGGTTTTGGAATCTCAGCAACAATTTAGCATACACTGATAAACAAGTATATGAGATCATATTGCACTACATTGCAAATAAAAGCAATGAAAATAAACACCAACAACCTATACTGTAAAATATCTCTATACATAAAGTATATTTACAGCCCTCCTCAATGAAGTTCAATTCAAATTCAGCATTAAGCAATTCCACTACTGAACTTAAAAATCACAATGTCTACAACAGTTCAATGTAAACACTACAAACTAGGCTTCTGCTGTATTATTACCATTGACATTATTATCTTCTATATCATAGTTTTCTATAAATTTAGCTATTGCATCATAACCAGCCTCCCTTGCTAGTTCTGCCGCAGTCTGACCCTCCTGAATTAATAAAAAATAAATGACATCACTTAATTTAGAGGAAACATCAGAAAACTTATTTCAGTGAGCCATGAAAAGCAAGGGATCTTACATATAACTGTAGATTTACTATATTGAAATAAATCCTTTTGGACTATTTTCTTGTAAACTCTCAATTTGCTAAAGGGAGATAACTGTTCACAAAGTTCCTTAAGTTCATATTATCTCCCCTTAGACCACAAATCCTATTCACTGTGGTATTTAAGGTTGAAAACATAAAATTTATAACTGTTTAGTGTACAGTTCGATCAGATTATCACTATTTCTTTTTTCAAAATTTCTTTTATTAGGTTCAAAAAGGCATCTTTACTATTTACTATCTATGTTTCAGTTTATCAATATATGGACCTAATTTGTACAGTGTCCATAAATGTTTACAATGTTCTCACTAGATGATTCTAGAAAATACACTCAAACTTACCTTATTTTTTATATTTGGGTCAACTTTCGAATCTAATAATAATTTAACTATCTTTAGATGACCAAATAAGGCTGCTGCATGAAGTGCAGTTTCACCATTCTGAAAACATAACTAATTATTAAAGTCAACATGGCATCTTTCGAAATGAAGAAAATTACTATTACACCAGAGTAGATTGTTCTTTTTATAATAATTCCCTATTTACTAAATTAAAGACATGCTCTCACTTTAGCAACCATCTCAGATGGTTGGAATATTTTTTTGTATTTTGATCCTACAGTTCTACATGCCATTCTTAAATTACAGTATGTGTAAAGTGGAAACGAAAATGAAATTGAAATGAAATGGTGTTTAACGTCCTACTGTTTAGCTCCGAACTGGGCTAATGAAGATGGGCATACGCCATACAGTGTGCTATGAGGGAAATTTTGCTCGGACAGCGGCACTATGGCCTACTCTTATATCGAATTCCAACTGTCAAGGGATCTTTTACATGCACGATGTGAACACGGGGCCTCGGTTTTCCGTCCCATCCAAATGACTCGACAGCTGTCCTTGTCAGGCCCTCTGTTCTGCATCACTGACAAGGGAAAGCCATGTCGGAATATCTGGATGAACTTTCTCGGCAAATGCAGGGATCAAACACTCGACCTCCAGGCTAGCGAGCCAACGTCTTACCCACTTAGCCACCGTGATCCCCGTAAAGTGGAAACAAATCTTGCAATCTACTGCTGAGACAAATACATTTATCTGTGTAAATATTTTAAAGCGGCTTTCAGAACTCTACTATATCAGTGTATGTTGTGATTTTCGATACTAAGATTGTCCTGGGTTATTTTAAATATGGTATTATATAAAATAAATGACACTATTATCTTGTTGAAAGTTATAGATGATCAGTAATTTATATTTAAAAGACTACAAACAGAAAACTACATTACTTACCGGTAAAAGACCTGTATTACAATTACATTTGAGCAGTTCTCTAACAACCTCTATATGACCTTTATGACATGATTTAAATAATGGTGTGGCACCATCCTGATAAAATAATAATTATCCATTATTTTAAACTCATATCCAATACAAAATATATTTATTTAATGATATTCATCTTCTTCAGAACAGTCTATTTCTATAATTTAGAAGTATCAAAATTTTAGTACCAATATCGGTATGTGAAGCCTACTGCAAGGTGAATTATGCTAGAAATAGTATTAACTGTACAATGTATATACTTTGTGTTTTGTTTTCTCTTACTTCTAAATGTCAGTCAAGAACTCAAGTATTGTAACAAAATATGGATATATTGAATATTGTCAAAATTCATCTACATGTACCTCCCTATTGGCATCAACATCTGCTCCAGCTTCTAACAGTTCTTTAACAATAGCTGCATGTCCCATTTGGGCAGCTATCCATAAAGGTCCAGCTTCATCCTATATAATGAAAAGGTTATTATGTAATTTGCAGCATCAAAACAATATTCATCACAATGACATTTATTATTATTATAACCAATAAATCTTTTGACTTTTTGCATCTATCACCCCAACCATATTTGACATCATACCTGGAAGTTGTGAATGTGTTGCAGGCCTACATGAGGCAGGATATGCTAACTTTTCCTGGAATATCTGTCCCACAGCAGATTTACATAGCTGAATGTTTTCATTCAGGTGAATTATGGCACTTAGTACATTCATATTATCTGTTTAAATGTTATAGTCGAGGTGCCTTGCCACTCACTGACATTTTGGATTGCCTGTGTTGTTGTTTGTTTATGTTGAGCAGTTAGTGCTATGTACTAAATATATACCACTACACAAGGTTGTTACGCAAAACTTTTTTCGTGCAACAACCAAGGGGTGAGAGGTCTATATCAAGCATACAAACGAAAGGAGATTAACAGCAAAACATTTTTTCATCAAAATGGATAAGTCCTCTAGTTGTCAGGTTAATATACACATGAGTGCATTTTACTATGAACACACGTCACATTGACCCTAAACTTGTTTGTTTATTCTTCAACATGCAGTCAACAAGGAACAACAATCATCAACGCCCCAAATTCCATCATAAACTTTTTTGTTCAATTTTATTATTAGATTCATTGTGTGTTATGGATTTTCTTGTATGTATCTTTGAAATATGCATGGAGTTTAATATCGCAATACTGACCTCTGATGATGTCACAAGCAGTTAATATCTAAAATAACGGTCATGGAGATCTAAGAGATAATTACCCCGTGGTTTATATACTATATAATAAAATATATGAATGAAGTAGGGTTGAACGTCCTACTTTTCTGTACCAAACAGGCCAATGAAGACAGACTTAAACACACAGCGTATCTGTGGTATCTCCTAATAATTGTAATAACTTACTTTTCGTTTTATATTAGGATCTGCTTCTTTTGAAAGGAGGTATTTGAGCAATTGAAGATGACCATTCTGTGCTGTTATAAATAATGATGTAGCACCATCTATCATCTGTGTATGTATATCAGCACCTAGTCGTAATAATTCTTCTACAACATCTTGATGATTACACTGACAAGCTACAAACAATGGTGTTCCACCATCCTGAAATTCGTGCAAAGTGGATGAGCAACTCAGATTTAGTTTTACAATTAAATATGAACAAACTAAAATTTCTTAGCAATTATAAGAGAATGAGGGGGGGGGGGGGGAGGAATGAAATTTAAAATTCACTCATTTTGAGACTAATATGTGTAAAATTTTTATTTCAATAATTTTCATGTGCATAGACAAATTTAGATGTGGGTGGTGGTGGGGGAATTTTTAGGGGAAAACAAGCCTGGGATTGAACCCTTGATTTACATAGATAACAGATTTTACAGAGTGCAGATGAAATAATTGAAAGGTATCATTATTTTTGTATGAGCCTAAGAGTGCACTAAATCAAGTGCAAAAGCAACTTAAATTTATCATCTCCAAAGCTCTATATCGCTTAGGGTTTTTTTGGACTGAAAATTCAAATTACTAAAAATACATGTTTATATACTTACAAAACTGCACAGATCCACATCTGCTCCATGATCTAATAAAACTTGAACTATTTCTAAAAATCCTCCCTGAGATGCAAAAAATAAAGCACAAGTTCCTGTCTGAAAATAAAGAAGATGAAAGGAATGTAAGTAAATAGAAAAATAAATATTTAGATAAGTAAAGTCAAAAGATAGTCTAACACAAATATACATCTATCTGTCTTAAAACAATCATCAATCACCAAATGTATATGTAATAATTAATTCTTTTGATCATAATGAAATATCATTTACAAATATTTGTTGGAGATTTCATATCAATAATCTGTCTGTGTCTATAAAACGGCTGATCATTCAAGATAATTTTATCATAAGTCTTTTGTAAAACATGACTAAAAAATACAGAAATGATATGATTTTCTCTAAAGGTACGAACGACATCTTAGACTCTTGATAAATCAGCCATATTCTAGTAGATTAAACATAGATCATCCATACCTTCATTCTAAATAGGTGCCAAAAACGTACAAAAAAATATTTCTCTCAAACGAAAATAGCTTGACTGTATTCTAACAAAGGTGATTTATTAGTCAAAGAATATTTGTCAGTTTTTCCCTCTACATTGTAACAGTCAATGAAATAAGGTGAAGACATACATATGTATATCTAGTAATTGATTTTTGTCAGCAGATATTCCTAAAAATTTGAAAGTTTTCTCAAGAATCAAAAAAGATCCCCCACCCCACCCTCTGTGTTGAAAGTGTTTTCTGTGGATAATTGCCAAGTATTATTGAGATATAATAGGAATATAAAACAAGTAGGGTTGTTTTACTGCATATGGACTGAGAATTTAATGTCTATCAGAATGAACAGTAAAATTGTTAAAGAAAAATAGTCTACATCAATCTTTAGCCCTAAAGCGTCTATACTCTCATATAAACCAAGTGAACTGTGTATCAAGTTTTATACTATATTTCAGGTAAAGCCAAAAACTCCATACAAAACCTACAACTTAGAGGATAATAATCTTTGACTGGTTGGAGATATCTTTCCATCTTATTAAATATCTCAAGGATATGTGCACTGATAAAACAAACATCAAACCAGTTTTGTTACCAGTGCTCTGTACATATCAATTTACTAAAGATGCTTCCTGGGGATTCTAGTTTCTCATCGGAATTCAATCTCAATAATTTCTGCTAATGTCAAAATGACCAAACTTATGAGAGAGAAAGTTAACTCCCAGTGATGACACAATGTAAAATTCTACTAAATTTCAAGGTACAAGTACAAGTAATCTAAACATGTTACTCATGTTAGATAATAGACTACATCTGTTGTTTATTTTTACATGTGTAATATTAAGACACTACTTTATTTATGCAGTATCTATTTGTATTGATATGTACATAGTGCATACTTACCAAACGTCTGGCTGTGGCATCGGCACCCTGTCGTAGTAATTCACGAACACATTCAATGTGGTTATTGGCTGCTGCTAAGATTAATGGTGTTGTACCTTCCTGAAAGGATAGATATATAACTAAAATCTAGAAAAAATGACACTTCATCCAGCAATAGGCTCCACGTCCTGAAGAAATGACATTGTCTAAATGAATAAAATATAGCTATCATCCATCTTGGAATCCATAAAGGGTAACTGTAATACACAGGACACAATTTTACTGTTAATCTTTATAAATAAAATCAAAGATGTATGTATGTGTGCAGGGCTCACACTGGTTTTCAATTTTTTTTCTGCCAAAATGGATGATAATTTTTATATAAAAAAATGTTCATATTTTTTTCCCGTCAACTTGACTATTTTATCTGCAAAAAACATGTGATATGTAACAATTTTATGTCTCAGCAAGGCTTATTATAAACAATTACCGATATATACAATACAATATACAACAACTTTAAAAATCCGTCTTTACATAATAGATTAGCACACAGTTTAGATTTAACAAGATCAGATTTTATTTTTCGTGACTTTAGTCTATTTGAACACTGTGCTGCACAATTACACGTCAAACCTCATCAAAGTATTGCCAATTTTCTATAAATCTATGTGTTCCGTGTACAATAGGCCTATTGTTATTTTCAGGTACTGTAAAAGTATCAGAATCTGAATCCCTAATAGAATTATATAAATTTCAATTATATTTGTAAGAGATGCTTACAATTATACTCGTTGTTCACTTTTAGAGCATTTTGGCGACAGTAATATGATAAGAATAGCGAACTATTTTCTTGCTCAAGAAGCGCCGCTATTCAACTCGTTCTTACGTTTTCGACAAGTGGTGATTATATGATTTGAAATAATGATATCCGATAGGCATGCTTAAACATACATTATGCAAGAGCAAAATCGGCCTATTGTAGGTCTTTCTTTAGGCCTGAAATGTTATAAAAAATATTAATTAGACATTAATTAACATATCCAGACCATAATCAGCTCTCGATGTCAAGGCTTGCCTGCGATATTTGTTGGATTACAGTCTGATTTGCTGCAAAACTTTCCTTCGTGATTAACGATTAAATGGATAATCAAGACTATTAAGTTTTGTCTTATCGACTTCAGTAATGATGATCGAGGCTAAGCGGAACTTGCATCCGCTTAGTTCTCAGTTCATAGTGGATCAATTTGACTGGAATTTTCAGCAAGTTGCCTTTACATTATGTAGTTTTTAACTATTATAGTGAGAACTGCCAACTCGTTATCTAATCTCCCATAATGTATTTTTAAAGTAATCATTGGGAGCAAATAATGACTTGAGATAGGCTTTATATATATCAAGGGCAATTATCAATCAACTAATCATTAATCCAAGACAAGTGATTAGAGTTACTCATCAGTATTTAGTATTAATTAATAGTATTTAGCCACATAATTGACACTCAATAATGGTTAATCCAGGATAAATACGATTAGAAGTTTAAGATTTTTCCCGCCAGTTCTCAAAAAGAATCGCCCTACCAGAAACCATTATCGCCAAAATCAAATTTTAATCGCCACCGCCACTTTCAGATTTTTATCGCAAATTGTGACTTTGGCAACCGGCAGTGTGAGCCCTATATGTGTGTACGTATATGTTCTCCCATCAAGATTAATATGTGGTATCAAATTAACCAGCATAACCTGTGAATCTTTTAGGCCATTAAATTTGGACCCTGGGCGGATCGTGCTTCATCACTACTTTCCATCCCCACATATGCAATATCAAATTAACCAGTTTTAGGCCATCCAATTCGGACGCCTGGCGGGTATCCCTGCTACTTATCAATAAACTGTAAAAATGTACAATATTTCAGAAAATTGTGCACAGCGTTTTTTCCAGTTCAATTATTAAATACCATTGAAAGTTGAAAAAGTTGAAACAATTTAGTGTAATAGTGCATGTAAGTAGACCAAACCACTAGAATATGTTAAAATAACTATGGTTATATGGTAAAGTGGTATCAGGTGTTCCATAAAAAGTAAGCATACTCTGCAATGATCGACAGCTAATGTATCTATAACCTTTCTACTAGTAAACAATCAATACAGATGAAGGTATTTCATCTTCAACCAATTCTAAATCTTGATAATTTTAGAGCTACCTTCACATCAATATCTATCAACGCGTAATAGTACTAAGCACAAAAATAATTTTTATTAATACAATCATGTGAAAATTATTTTCAAAAATATAAACAAAATCATATAAAACAAGCATTACATATTCTAATTTCTACATTTCAACTGAATTCGCATTGTACTCAATTTCAATATTAAAGGATCTTATTTGGTTCAATAGATGGCAAGAAAAGTATATACAACGTGTCAATCACAAAATAATGCTATTTTTTTTTTGTGTACTAATTTCTGCTAATGTGATCAGAAAACTGGGTTATTCCTTCGATATCAATATTGACACTCGATTAGAGAAACACTAATCAGAATTGAGTACTGTGTTATGTCCTCTAATTCTTACAAATATGAAAGTAATAAAAGTCACGAGTCCACATTAGTAATCACTGGAATAATGTATTGGGTAAAATGATGTGATAAGTAAGTGATAAGTAAGATTATTTAACATAATAGGTCTGTCAGTTGTATTGACTAAACAGTAAACCATTACAGCTAGGACATCAATCAATCCATTTCTTTTTTTTTTACTGTACTTCTAATTACTAATGTAGCAGGTGTGAAACTTGGTTGAGAATTCTTCTTCCCCAAAGCACACAATCTCAGATGAGAAATCCTAATAAAAACACACTTAAAAACGTTAGTATTTATTATAGTAGGTGTTTTAAGCTTCTGCCATATTATCTCCCTACTATGAAGAGGTACTGTAACTACCTCATCTAAATGGGCTCAAATCCTGTGTACACCTTAGTTTTTCAGTTTTGGAAATCAGTTTCATGTATAACAAAATACATAGTGCAAGCTTATATTTTCAATTAAAACTGAATTTTAAATGGTAGACAAATGTTAAAGGAGGAAAAGGGAGAAAAATTTAGGTCTAAAGTCAAAAATATTTTCATAGAGGCTAAATATTAAACTAAATAATAGTATATTGTATGTTTCCTGACATAAAACTGATTTTTATTGTATACGTATAACAGGAAATAAGATGAAATCGGAAAAAGGTAATCCTACAAATTATTAAGGTACACCAATGTAATACGTAGTAATTTTAGTACTTTATAAAAATTACTCTAGAACTACTTTTTTTCCCTCCCAATGTTTTGACCGTGAACCACTGAATATGCACATTCAAGTAGTGTAATTTCTGTTTATATTCAATGCAATCTAAAAGGTTAAACCTATCTTCTATCTACCCTCTACTCCGTCAGACAATGCCCGAAAATTACCTATAAATGTTACTGGAACACGTCTGAAATATTGTTTGGGTTTTTACACATGCAGAAGTCAATACTCTTAACATATAAATATATGACATTTATTAGTATGCATTTTCTATGGGTCATATCTCTAAGAGAAAATCACTTGGTACAAGATATATAAAGCTTTCATCACACCTTCTAGCAATATGATCGCACTGTGTGTCTGTTTATATAAATTGTAACAGCTTTGATTTACTTGGCTTCAATCAGCTAAATCTCTGGTTTCCTATTGACGTATTATACAATTTACTTATTACAAACTGATGTTGATCCGTTCTAGCCTACTAGAAGTGCTTAATGAACTTTTCTGTACATGTACTTAGTAAGCTATTTGGTAAGACATGAGACACAGAAATCTGGTTATATTTAAGAGGCTACCAGAATTATTACATTAAGATCATAGAATGGGACTTCAGCGAAAAACTGGTTGGCTACCAATATTTCAATTCTTATAACTGATCCTAACCAGTGGGCATATTCTGCAAAGTCGTGTAACAACAAGTAGACTAGTTACATAAGATTTGTAACAGACATTAGGTTGGACCAAAAAGATTTGTAACAGACACAGATACGTTATAGAGAGAGAGAGAGAGAGAGAGAGAGAACTGGGGTTTAACGTCCACTTGACACAAACTAGGTCATTTCGGGACCAACACATGGTTCAATTTTTTTTTCAATAATTCGCTTGCGTGTAGGGGTGTTTAGCAGTGGGAGGAAACCGGAGGACCCGGAGAAAACCCACGAGGTTGGACAGGCGACCCTACTCCTTGTCATGTACAACCGGGGAATCGAAACCCTGCCAGTCGACACAGATACGTTATAGCTATCAGTAATGGTGACCGTGACCATGAAACTTCTGAAATGCAGACTTAAGTCCAGTTGATAAGTACATCTATCTATGTTTCAGCAATTTCGATGTTAACAGTTTGTCACAGGTCAAGAGGTCATTCTATAACAAGCATAACAATACTTTGAAATAAAATATGCTATCAAAAGTTCTTGGTATGTTTATTTAATATTTTAACATGTAATTGCAATTTCACCAGCTGAGTATACCTACATGTAATTTATTTTCATAAAAAGGTAAATCAAAAAATCCTGTGACAAGAAAATTGTACATTTCTTCTTCCAAATTATATTATGCATACATACACAGATGTACAATAATATACATGTACATTGCAATAAAGAGTCTAAGCAAGTCAGAATAATTTCCAGTCAGTCTTTTATCATACTTATGTTGAATAAGTATATCAATTTCAAAATTCTTATAGTTTTAGCACTGATACTTGCAATAGTCTCAACTGATGCCCATTGTTCATGTCTCAATAGCATCCCTTATTTATGGTACAGAAATGTTATTTTGATTACAAATTAATCTTAAGAATCAAAGTTTACAAATGTATCTGAGAAAATTGCAAGATTAAATCAGCTTGTAGTAAGTTTAAACCCAATGAGAAAAGTGGACTAATTTGCTTTGTTCTTTTAATAACAATATTGGCACTTAATCATCTAATTATAACTTATAAGGAAATGCAGTCAAATGGGGTTTAACATCCTACTATTCTGCTCTGACTGGACTAATGAAGACGGGCTTACGCCATACAGTTACAGCCTACGTCCTGCA